CGACCGAACTGAACCAACTCATGAATACTCATAATTTCAACTAAATTAATAGTCTCATCTTTGATAAATAATAATAGTTTAATCTCCAATAATTATTGAAAATTTATAGTGAAAATACACAATTATTGAAAATATATGGATAATAAAAAAATACAATGATTACAAAAATACAATAAGTACTAAAAATATATTAAATTAGTTAATAAATAGTATAAACTCAAATAATAGTTTAATCTCTCATACATATTAATCAATAAGTTATCAAAAAAATACAATAAACACAATAAGTACAATAAACAAAATTTAAAAATTTCAATAATAGTAGTTTAATCTCCAATAATTATTAAAAGTTCTATGTTAAATAAAAGAACAAAAATAAATTTATACATAATTGTTGAAAATACATCTATCACAAAAAACAATAAATAATTACTGAAATGCAATAAATATTAATATTAGTATATATAATTATATAATAAATATATTAATACTTTAAAATTATTATTAATAAATATAAATTTTTATGAAAGTTATTTTCCTGAATTATTAATTGATATAGGTGAAATTAGTTATTTACAATATTATATAAAAATATTAAATTTATTTCATTATTAATTTTGTAAAATATTAAATTATTAATTTCAATACTATGTTATAATTATTTTTCTACTTTTYAAATTTTTTAAAAAATTTATTACATAATTTCTTTATTTTAGCTAATTTAAAATCTATTGTGTTAACTATTTTGTTATTTAAAATATTTAGTTATTTAAATACTTAAATAATATGTAAAATATTTAAAATTTAAAATAATAATTAATTATTGAACTTAATAATCCATAAAATTATAATTTATACTGTTATTACATGATTTCATTATTAATTTGGTAAGATATTAAATTATTATTAATTTCAATATCATGTTATAATTATTTTTCTACTTCTAATAAATTATTTAAATTTATTACATAATTTAGTTATTTTAAATATTTAAAATCTAGTTATGTTAAATATTTAGTTATTTAAATATTTAAATAATATGTAAAATATTTAATTTTTTTGTTATTTATTGAATTTAATAATTCATAAAATTATACTTTATACTATTAATACTTAATTTCATTATTAATTTTGTATGATATTAAATTATCATTAATTTCAACATTATGTTATAATTGTTTTTCTACTTTTAAGAAGTTTTTTAAATGTATTACATATTTTCGTTATTTTGACTATTTAAAATCTAGCTATGTTAAATATTTTGTTATTTAAATATTTAAATAATATGTAAAATATTTAAAACTTTTTTGTTATTTGAATTATATTTATTTAAAGGTATTACATGTTATTAATTATTTTTTATATAATTATTTAGATGTTTATAATATTTTTATATTTAAGATATTTATTTACTGAAACATTTAAATAAGATTTTTATTTTTTAATGTTAGATTTTTATTATTTGAATAACATTAAATTGATAATCTTAAAAATTTAAAATTTAAATTGTTAGTACATAATTTTGTGATATATTTTGTAGAAATATAAAATTATTTTTTATGTTTTTAATAAATATTTTAAAGTTATTATATAATTTTTTTAAAATATTTAAAAAATTGTTAAAATTTTTTAATCCAAACTTTATTTAGATAAATATAGATAAAAAGTGGGAGAAAGGAAAAATAGGAATTAGAGATAATTTAGGAGAAAGTGGGGGATAATGGGGGAGGCATTTTAGGAGAAATTTTAGGAGAAGAGATTATTTAGTTTATTGAAAATTTCATCTCATTGGTTGTTTCAAAAATGACATGGAATTAAAAATAAATAAAAAAATTCAAAAAAAGGAGAAAGTTTCTAGACTTCCTTGTTTATATATATATATATATATATATATATATATATATATATAGCCTAGCCATTTAACCATTAATTTCTAAGATCTTGGTTAAACCAAGGTCAATCAATTAAGCCCATTTTGTGGCATCCTTGAAAATGATTATATCAAGTACTAAAAGAAACAAATATAAGTTGGAAGCACTGGAAGTTTGGAACTTGATGCCTTCTTTCTTCTTGGTAGCTCTTTTCAAGTAGGTGACTCCAAACATCTAGGAGTCAATTCCTTAGTTCTCTAGATTTAGAACTTTTACATTTATGCTCATTATAAAGTCTAGGGAAAGCCTAGCCATTTAACCATTGGTATCTAAGGTCTTGGTTAAACCAAGGTTAGGAAATTAATCCCACTTTGTGGTATTCTTGCAAAAGATTACATTAAGTCCTAAAAGAAATATATACAAGCTGGAAGAACTAGAACTTGATGCCTTCTTCTTTCTCTTTTTCTTGTTCTCGGTAGCTCTTTTCTTTATTGGAGAGTAATTGGTTCATCATTTGACACAACTACTCTCTCAGAGCTAATCAACAATTTTAGCTCAATTGATGAGAACCACTTGTCATAGCTACACACTTGAGTTCGAATTATTATTAGTGCTCTCCATGAATTTGTTATCATCAAAACACATAGGCTCAACAATTGTGGGTTGACCCATCTGACTCAAATAGTTGAACCACTAACCCACATACTTAGGAGAAAAGTTTTATTTCCAGGTTGGTTTTAAATGTTATTTTCGATTTCATCATAAATAAAAGTATTTCTTGTTTATCATACTTAACTTTTTATTTAATACAACAAATATATAATATTATAGATGTGCCCAAAATATTTTGTTTTATATTTATGTATTTTATCTATTTTAAATTTTTAGTATTCAGTTTATTATGGCATAGTTGGTTGACTTGTTTGACTCAAATGGTTGAATTGCTTACCCACCACCTGACAAAGCAATTTCATTTTAAGATTAGTTTCAAAATTACAAGTTTTTTATTATTAAAAATATTTTTCATAGATTTAGCTAGTGGAATTTAATGATGAGGAACAAAAACACCTTGAATATAGGATTATTTATTAGTTTAAATATAGGACTTAATGAGAAAGACTACCACAAACTAAAAAGTAAATTCAAATTACAATTTCTGCCCTTGCAATAGAGGGGCCAAATTAAGAGAGGGGTAGTTTGGTCAAGAAAAGGTCAGGAATCATTAGAGAGCTATTCTCATCCTTATGTTCTTGTAACTTGTTCTTCAAGAAAGTTTAACCAAAGAGGCAAGGATTTTAACTTCTCAATGATAGCAAAGATCATCACTCTACTAGGGATGTTACATGTTAGTGGGTCTTGTTAGGTGGTAAACCCTCACTAACCTGACCCTATCAGATTAGGATTGGGTCGGTCTTAATCGGGTATCGGGTCAGGTTCAGGTTGGGGTAAGCGGGTATTGACCCGAGCCATTGACACTGCAGCCTTGAAAATATTGGTATATATAATATCAATTCAATTCGATATGGGTATGCTATAGATGAGGCTGGATGAGGTGGGTTCAGTACCCCTCTTCATTTAGTCGGATCGGGTCTTGTTCGGATTTAGGTAAACCTGTACTCCCAACACGGTGACATCCCTACTCTCTACCACCCCAATGACATTTTGCCACCTTGATTAGTTGAAGTTGATTCTTCATGAAAAATGTTGCACTTCAACAGTCTATATTATCTATTTTTTTGAATTTTCATATTTTTTATATTTTTTATTTTAAAAAGTTTATTATTTAACTATGATATTATGCGTTGACACATAAACCTAGATGGTTGAATCACTGACCTGCGAGTCAAATAGGAAAATGGTTTCATTTGTAGGTCTTTTGTAATTCATTTCTATCATTAATGAGAATGCTTCATATTTGTCATACTTAATTTTTGTTTAATATGAAAAATTTATAATATTAGAGATGTGAATAAAGTTTTCTACAAATTTTCTTTATTTTTGTATTTTTATCTTTTCTTTAAACTTTAGTATTAAATGGTTGAATTTGATTACCTCACACTTAAAAAACCAATTTAATTTCTAGGTCAATTTTAAAAGTATAATAGAAGTTTTAACACTATTAAAGTTATTTTTTATGAATTTAATGATAAAAAACAAAAATACCTCAAATATAAAATTCAATAAATTGAAAACATAATATCCAAATTACAGTTTCTGCCCTAGAGGGACCAAACATTTTAGTCCAACAAAATTCCAAAAGCCTCGGAGAACTATTCCCGCTTTATATATAATACAAGATAATAGATAAACGTAGATTAAAAGTATACAACATTTTGATCAATTTAAGCAATTTATTAAATAATGGTATTCAATATCTGAATTCAATTCTTATCAGATATAAATTCCGCAAGTTTTGACCGTTTCACAGTCCTGACTGTGAACTCCTTTGTTGGGTGCATTCCATAACTTGTCTGCGTTTTATTGGACCCTTTCATTGAAGCTCGATTTTGCGATGAAGTACGCCCTAAATGGTGGGTTGAAATCTAAACTGGATACCATTGACCAACACCTCTATAACCCTAAAATATTAAAAATTGCATCAAATCTGTCAGAACTCAGAAGCTAAAGCTACCTAAACATTGATAAAAGCTTGAGAACAACACATACATCTATAATCTATAACGTGGCTTCAAACCAGACGAGATAGATACTAATGTCTAGCACCTTAGATCCCCTAGAAACTAGCTTAGCTCTCAGCCTCTCAAGACTCAAGGGAGAGTTGGGAAATGGAACTTGTTAGAGAGATCTCCACAAACGACAATCTAGGGCAGGCTTGCAGTTAATGTGGAGTTCACCTTTTTCATGCATTGCTTTTACAGGGATAAGAAGCCAATCCCCACACAAACAGAAATGTGAAATCTACCTCTTTTAGAAGCATTTTGACACTTGGATAAGCTACCCATAAACAGAGCTCATGCATTAATGGAATTCTCCYAAATTTGGTTGTGAAAATCTTTTCCCTAGATATGTTTTATAACCTTATTAATAAATAAAAGGGACTCAACCATCTTTACCCTAGTCTCTCTCTCTCATCAGCTCCATAAATTTGACTTCCAAATGTAGAGGAAATTCAGTTGAAAAGGGGTGAAAAATCCACAATTCAATTTCAAACTAGCCATACAAAGAAAGAGTTGAACTCTGAACCCATTTCCAACATCCTTTTACAAAGAATAAAAAGATCAAAACAGGGGAGGAAAAAGGTCATAATTTTCCGTTTTCTTCCTTCTTCCTCCTGTTACATCCACTGTGATATAGAGACTGGCCCATATAAATTACAACACAAAGCCGCCCCATTAATTGGGTCTCCGGTTAAAATCCGGTCAGCCRCCTCGATCCTCAGATACCCAGAAGAGAAAAAAAGATTTTTAAAGAAAAAAAAACAGAGAAAAAGAAAACTAATCCCCATCTCTAATCGCTGGCTGAAGAAAAAACTTAAGTTGGGTCTATAATCAAACAAGGAAAATTGATTGATTGATAGAAACTGAAACTCTCTCCATTTCTTCAGAAATAGAAATCGAAGTCTAGATCATAACAAGGAAAATTGAAATAAGTATATCAGCCATGAGATGAGGATGAAGAAGGTTGGTGTTGAAGTGGAGGAGGGTGATGTTGAAGTGGAGGAGGTTGATGTTGCAGTGGAGGGAGAAGTTGGTGGTGTTGATGCACCTGGCTTTGACCATGACGATTTCCGCTGCTGCTTCCGCCGTTGTTATTGTTGTTGTTGCTGTTGTTCTGAGTTATAAAAGGGTGACGTAGCAATTGGGCAGCCGTCCGTCTCATCGCCGGATCTTTTTGCAGGCAACATGACATGAAGTCGCGAAACTCTTTCGACGCCGTGTGCGGCGCCTCCGGTGGCGGGGATATGCAAATTGCCACCATCAAGCTAGCCCAGTCGCCATTCCGATTGACGGTAAATGGGAACCGACCCATGTAGAACTCCAATATGCTAACACCAAAACTCCAAATGTCTCCGGCGTAACCATCGTAGATACCATGATTGAGGTCGGTGTTGATCCGTTCCGGACTCATGTAAGCGATGGTCCCGACCGACGAATTGCACGGATCCATGGTTTGGGCTAGGATTCGGCTGACCCCGAAATCAGCGATCTTGACCTGCCGGCGGCCGTTGATGAGCAGATTCGACGGCTTGATATCACGATGCACGATCTTGCGACGGTGTAAGTACGCAAGGCCGGAGAGGATCTGGCGGGCAAGATCGGCAAGAGCTGGTTCCTGGGGGATGTGGGTCCCCTCAAGAGATCCACCGTCCATGTACTCTAGGAGGACCTGGATCTCGCCGGCGTGGTCGAACATGTCATGGCACCTGACGACGTTGGGGTCGTCAACGTTGCGGAGGATCTCGATTTCTCGACAGATCTGGCGACGAACGCCATCATCGTGGGTTCCGTAGATCACCTTGAGGGCGTAGAACCTACCGGTGCGTCGGTGTCGTACCTTGTAAACGGTGCCGCCGCTGCCGCAGCCGATTCGGTGGACTCTGTCGAGCTCAGAAAAGCTGACGGGGGGATGTTGGGGGTTCTGGTTCTGTTGGGTGGAGGATGAAGGGGCCGAGTTGGGGCCGGGAGGGAGAGGAAGAGGCACAGCAAAAGATGGGTCGCGTTGAGGGAGAGGAAGGGTCAGGTCTGGCCTCCGCCGAGGGCGATTCGTGGTGGAGCTGGGTGGTGGGGGTAGAACCGGTCTCATGACTCAATAGTGGAGCTTGATTGATGGTGGGTTTGGCTTGGTTCGATTAGGTTTTTTCATTCTCTCATCTCTTCTCCTCCGTATTTGTTATTTGATGGCCTCTGAATCGTTGGTTCTTGCACCCATGAAACAGGTTCAGGGTCTTTGTAGAAGGAGAAGAAGAGAAATTTCTGGGAAAGAAAGGGAAGCAGAAGAACAAAGGAAGGAGAAGAGAAAGGGAATTTCAAGACGAAGAAGAAGAGGAGGAAGAAAGAATTTTTATTTTTAATTTTATATTATTTTTGGTTATTATGGGGAAATGAGAAAGGCAAGAAAGAGACAGCTGATGAGAGAGAGAGAGAGGGGGGTTTAAAAATATATATATTGGATATTGGAGAGGTAGTTATCAAGAGGGAATCGAGATTTCAAGACAAGAGATCTGTCTTCTTCTCTTACAAAACCCTGTTAAAAGCTTAGCCTTTTCTAACCATCTTACATCCATTGGCTCAGTTGATGATGGTGGCTCTGGCTTTCTCTATTGATCTGATCTCTCTTATGTGATTAAAGTGCTTCTTCTTCATTCATTGATCTATTATTTCTTTTTTACTTGAGATAGTAATGGTAACAGAGTCTGCACAAATAAATTATGTGCAGATAAATTGTGTAGAGGGACCCATTAGAAAGTAATATAGGAAAAAAAGAGAAATTAGGGTAGATTCATATATCTGGAAACCATGCTTCTGAAACACATCATCAACACATGACATTTAATGTTACAGATGGGTCCCCACATCTAGCATTGTATATTGTATCTTTTCTTTCTAGATGCTAAATTCTTGCCCAAAATCTGATGATAATAGAACCACATTATTCCAATTGGGATAATCTAATTGGGTGAGGTTCATCTAGTAGGCATCGAGAATTTTTGCATTTAGATGTGAATATGTTAAATTTTAATGAGGCTTTTTTTCCCAATCCAAGAAAAGGGTTTCATTTTTTGATGCAGAATAAAGTCTTGAGTTGGTGGTGGATGAATGATAAGAGAAGGAAATACTAAAAAAAGGAATTGGTTTATGTGAAAAGAACTAAGATATGGAATGGGTGGAAATGGGTCTATTGAATTGAATCACAAGTAATTTTTATTAACACTCTTTTATTTTTGGATTATATTTCATAATTATCTCGGCTGGGTAAATAAAGGAAAACGACTTATTTCTTTAGAAGATGATATTCAATAGGAAAACATATCACATTCTTAATTGTTTTTGATCTTTTGCTTAACTTGAAGATAACTGAATATGAATGGTTGAAAAAAAATATGATTCATGAGGATCGATCTCTATTTAGAAAATGATTTATGGAAACCTGAAAGGAATGCCATTTTTCTTCGGTTAGTGTTTGCTTTTCTAAAAAAAAATATGCTTATTTTTCACGGCCGTTTACATGCAACCAAACACCTACCAATTTTCAGAGAGAGAGAGAGAGAGAGATTGTAACTGGTATAGGCATCAATCAAATAACCCTTAATTGTCCCATTTGCCAGTAAAACTTTAACAATACAGTGAACTAGATGGAGAAATAAAACAAGTTATTGCCTTGTGAAGAATTACAGTGAACCAGATGAAGAATTGTCCAGTTGCCTTTCATATCAGTGAATCCTGACCCACTTGATAATAGGACATGATAATAAAGATGTAAAGGAGGAAGTAAACTTGCTAGAATAATTCAAAAAGGCAGAGTTGGGCAGGGTATGGAATTCTCTTCCATCTCCCTCTCTCTCTCCCAATTGCTTTACTGCCTTTTCTTCTAAATGGTAGCCTAACATAAGTCCACAACATCTTACTTGGAATAAGGTCACAATATCATGGTCTCTACATAAGCAGAGATAAAAAGCAACAATTCTCTCCTAAATAAAATCTAGCATTTGAACTAGGTTGATAAGAAAGAAGAAAAAAAATGTAGTATCTGTTTGGATTTTAAAGTAGAGATTAGTTACAACATGATTGAACAAACCTATTTTAAGATTATATTCTAAAAGGGTATCATCCTTTTGGGAGCACATTGGCATCCATGGTGGACTCACCTCCCCTTTTGTAAGATTAGGCTTTGTAAGAACCATTCTCCATGGATTCCTAACCAAACAGAATGTCCATAAAAAATCTTTGCTTTATAGTCTTGTCTGACTTCTCAAATCTTTGAGTGGCCAGTCGGCTTGGGGATGGATCATAGCTRGAATTGTTGCTTAGATGATGTAGATTTGGAATCCTTCTGGGTCATGATTTTGGTGGGTGGGTTGTGCTGACAGCCCAAAATGGGCCCACTTCACTCTCTTTTCAGGTGGCTAGTTTTGGCCCAATTACTATCGTCATGTGAAAAGAAGGATTCAGTTCTTCAGCACTCATTTATAAAATGTCTCTATTGGGCAACCCAGTCATTGGGCTAATGTGGGGACACCACACAGGTGGCTGGTCCAAACAGCCCCTCAGCAGATGAACAGTCTAGACTCTAGAGAAATAATGCCATAGAATGATAGAAGTGTGTTCTGGCTCTGGCCGGGTTGGCTGGGCGGCTAAAACACCCTTTAGGCTGTCCGGTTCGTATAAACATTGACTTGGTCAAACCTGTTTCAAATGCACTAATTAATGTTTTAACCTATTATAGCTATTGTTTTAAGCTCATTTTGGTATGAAATAAATTGAAAACCTAAAACAAAATTGTTTTTTCCATTTTTAATTTGAATATTCAAACCGGGTAATCGGACCCATTTGATTGTTAGACCGGACGGGCCACTCAATTGAATTGAACCGTCCAACCCTCGATCGGGCTGAAGCTTTCCTAAATTCCCTATCTCACAGCCCACTGTCCACGTAGGTTTCTTAAAAAACACTGATTCACAGAGTCACGAGCATCTGAGTGCAGCCCTGAGATCGGGTAATTTTAAGTGGGACCCACCACTGTACGAAAAAAAAGGTACGTGTTCATGCAAGTGTTGCACTAATGCCATGCATCAATCCAATCCATCCATTTCATAGGAATTTGGAAACCCACTGAATTGGTCACATTAAAATTTGTTTTTCTTTTATGTCATCCCCTTTGACAATCAGGTGGGAGCGCTCACACGGCAAGAGCGGTGTGTTAGCCCCTTTCCCTAATCCCGCCCCAGTTGGGAAGTATTGAATCTAATGACTCTGGAGATCTGAACTCCTTGTCCTTGAATCCGTAGGTTGGGCACTTGGGCTTCACGCAACCCTTACCATGCGAGCGCTCCCACAACATATATTTTCTGTGGTTGTAGAGGTTCTGTGGGCTGAACCTAGGCAGGTGAGAAGGGGTCGTGGACTTGTGTTCAGGACTCAGGAGCTTGGATTAAATATTTCCTCTGATTAGGACTTCAATGCCCTGGAATCTAAAAACATGGTCAGAATTCTCCCATAAATAGATAAACAATGATAGGGTCCCCTTTTGAAAATAAAAGAAAATGTGGGGTTCAATATATTTAAATATGATGGATGGATTCACCGATCAGCCAATTTGGTTAAATTTCCTAAACACTGGTTGATATTAAGGAAGACCTTAGATTGGAATCTACTAATTAACATTTGTGATACTAATCTAATGTCTAGATCTCATATCATCATGGTGTGACATCTGGCTGTATATAAATAATAAATTTACCAAGTGTTACAATATAATGGATTGCTTTATAATATAAATACAAAGTCTAAGCATGTGATTTGGAGAAGAGAAGCCTAAAGCCTTGCTTATACTCCAGTTTTTCATGGTCCAAGTAAGGTGGGAACTCAAATTGGGTCGGGCCCAGGTGTGACTTTTTCGGTCGTCGTCTTCCAGTAAGCTTCTATCCAACAAGCCTCTGCCACCTGGCAAAAACTATCACTTTCTCATTTTTATTGTATGAAAACAATAAACAATTTAAAAAGGTCAATCTGAGAAAAGAGATGCAATATACAATTGTAGGTTAACTGAGTCAATTCTCTTCTATCTAGATGACCCCGAGCGCCAATATTCTTTCAATTGGAGAAATCAAGCGTTCAATCCTAACCGTTGATCGGAGATTCATGCCATATATATGTCCACGTGTCAAATTGGATCTGATTTCAGGGAGGTGATAATACACGGCAGGGGTGCATCTTTAGTCTAAACATGATTCCAATCCAACGTTCTAAAGCGTTGTAAGACCCACGTCGAGGCATTAGTTATACGGTTCGATGGGTTCTACATCATAATTGCTGTAAGCTAAGTTGAGAGAGAGAGAGAGAGGAGTCTCAGTTATAGAGGCTCAATATCAACCACACGACATTGTTGACCACCGAGTGCGTCTTATTCACAAGTACCACGTGTCAATAATGGCTCTTCTTCGACATTTTCAATTTCAAGTCAACAAAGTTGGAGAAGCCACGTGGCAATTGTTTCACCACAACTCTAGCTTCTGGTCCATGTATCACAAAACCAGAATTAATTCTGGTGTGTCTCATTCTCTCGTTGTATTTGCCACGTGGCAATGACATGGAGTAGGAAACCGGAGCTGGGTGTAATCTACATGAACCCATGTCGTGGATTTGAACGGTGTTGATGTTGATGTAAGCAACCAAAGTAGGGCGATGCTGTCAATGACATGTATGCCTTTTGGTGGGATATATAGATGCAAGATCAACGGTGCTGAACGTGCTTGACAATTTAATTTGACAAGGGGAGGAATAAGTGGGAAAAAGGCTTTGTTAGGCAGTTTCCCGTTAGGAAGAAGCTAAGAAGGCTTCGGTGAGAGTCTCGTCTCGCAGTTTCGTTCTATATAATTTATAAACACGAGCGTTGAAAGAGCCAAAAAGAGCCAAACGTCTTGCTCTCTGTGTAATGGAAGGAGAGAATGATTCAAAGTTGGAGGGTGTATTAGGGGAGAAGGGCTGACTATGGAGACCCAAACGACAAAAGTCTTTATGTCAGAGGGGACAGAAGCCTAGTCCCTCTCACCACTCAACAAAATCTCAAATTCTCTCTTTTTCTCTCTCTCTCTAGATCTGTTTCTAAGTGGGTTCTGATAGTAGTTTCCATGACATTTCTCCTGTAGACCTTCCAATCTGGTTGGAGTCAAATACACATCTCAAACCTCTGATTTTTTGTTTATATGTTTCTTCTCAAAGGGTGATTTGAATATTTCCAAGGAATGAATCTCTCTCTCCTATGTAGTCAGTTGGATAATGGGGTAGTTGTGAATTGTGTGTTGTGGGAA